AGACTGGGGGCCAAACTTGAAACGAAAAAAGGAATTGTGGGATTTCCATGCTTTTCCTCGGGGCTGTTCGGTGCTGTTGTTTGTTTGTGCCTCGCGGGTTTTGTTAGCCCGGCCCCTCAGGAGTGTGGGGTCTTCCGGACCCCCTGGAGCTTCAGGAGGCCTCCTGGAGGCTTGGAGAGCCGCCGGAAGGTTCTTGCTAGGCTTGATAGGTTAACTCATGTCATCTCATGTTGGTCGCTTCTTGCGTCCAGGGACTCCCTTGGAGGCCCTGCGCAAGCCTTGGAATCGGAGGCCCTGCGCAAGCCTCGGAATCGTATAGAAGGGGAAACGCGGAAACGCAAAAATCATGAATTTCCTTTAGGTATTCGACGATTTGGGACTCTCAAAAGACTTCCTGGGTTCCTTCTTGGGAGGTGAGGGGGGTCTGAATTGATCTTGCGGACCCCTTGGTGTTTCTGGAGGCCTCCTGGAGGCCTTGAGAGCCGTCGGAAGGGTGTCGCGGGCTGCGCGGGAGCGTGTTGGGCTGTTCTTTACATTCTGGGGGCTCCGTGGGGTCGTCATGGGCTGTCCTTCGGCGACTTGGGGTCTCCCCTCGGGAAGCCAGGAGGCGCGGTACCGGCCAGATGTCAGGGGCTGTGTAGGACCCCCGAGTAGCTGTCCCACTCTGAAAAAGGGGTTCTGGACATTTTCTTTTTTTCAAAATCCTCGATCTTCGAGGGTTGGACGCGGAAAACGTGAAAAGGCGAAAAACATTAGAAAAACCATGGGACATTAACGATTTTACCTTCTTTGGGCTCTCTCGGGACGGCTCTCGCAGCTCTCTTGGGCTGTTCTTGTAGCCTCGTCGGGGTCTTTCTGGGGTCTCTCAAGGATCCGGGGTTGGGGGTCCCGGAGGCCTCTCGGAGGTCCCTGGAAGCCTCCTGCTCCCGCTTTTGGTCCCATCTTGGGCCTGTTCTGGGGTGGTCTGGGGCTGTCCTGGGCGCCTCTTCGGCAATCTTGGAGGCCCGTCTTGGGGCCCTCCTGAGGGTCTCTTGGGTGGTCTTGGAGCGGTCTTGGGAGCCTCGTCGGCGCTCTTGGACCGTTGGAAGCTGGAAAACTCGATAAGCCAAAAACATTGAAAACAACAAAAAATGGGAATCTACGATTTTGGCCTCTTCGGGCCGTCCCGAGACGCCTCTCGGACCTCTCTTGGAGTCTCTTGGAGGTTACCTGGGAGCCTCGAAAGCCGACGGCAGGCTAACTTGGGCTGCTTGGGAGCGTTTTGAACTATCTTTTCGCATTCTGGGGGCTCCTGGGAAACGTATCGGGCCCTCCTGGAGCGCTGTGGAGGCCCCCCGGAACGCCCGGGGGAAGGGTACTGGGAACGTTCCCGAGATGTCACGGGGAGGTGTGGCACCCGGGGCCGAGGGGGCTCTATTGGGAGCCTCTTGGGGCGTCTTCGGAGACTCTTTGGGTGCTTTGTCGGGTCTCTTGGGGGCCATTTGGGGTTTCTTGGGCGCTTCTTGGAGCCTCTTGGGGTCTCCTGGGGGCCTCTTGGGCCAAAACGCTCGAATCTTCGGTTCCTCGTCCCCGTCTTGGGCGCCGACTCGGGGCGTTCTTGGGCGGTTAGGGCGCCTCGGGGGCCGTCTAGGAGCCCTCTGGGGGGCATCCACGACCGGCTTGGGTGCCTCTTGGGCCGCCTTGGACGCAGTGGAAGCCCAAAAGGCGAACACGCCAAAAATATCAGTTTCCCCATAGGAAGTCGACGATGTTTGCTTATTGGGGCTCTATTGGAGTGCCCCTTGGGGCGTGTTCGGGGACTCTTTGTCTTTTTGCTGGTCTCTCGGGGGCCTCTTGAAGCTTCTTGGGCGCTTCTTGGAGCCTCTTGGGGGCTCATGGGGGCCTCTTGGGCCAAATAGCTCGCATGTTCGGTTCCTCGTCCCCGTCTTGGACGCCGACTTGGGCGTTGTTGAGCGGTTTAGGCGTCTCGTGGGCCGTCTTGGCCCCCTCGTGGGCCGTCTTGGAGCCCTCTTGGGGGCATCCTCGACCGTCTTGGGTGCCTCTTGGGCCGTTTTGGACTCAGTGGACGCCCAAAAGCCAGGCGAACACGCCAAAAATATAAGTTTTCCAACTGGAAATCGACGATGCTTGCCTATTTGGGGCTCAGTTGGGGTGCCTCTTGGGAGCCTCCTGGGGGTCTCTTGGGGGCCTCTTGGAGCCTCTGGGGGGCCACTTGGTGTCTCCTGGGGACCTCTTGTGGCCCTCTGGGAGCCTCTGGGGCCGAAAGCTCGGAATTTGAATATTGTTGTGCACCTCTGGGACCCCTCTGGGGCTCGTTCTGGGGCTCTCTTGGGCTGTCTTGGGGGCCTCTCGGGCCGTCTTGGGACCCTCTTGGAGTCGTCTTGGAGCCCTCTTGGGAGCCTGTGCCTCTGGGCCGCCTTGGAAGCCCAAAAGGCGAACACGCCAAAAACATCAGTTTCCCCATAGGAAATCGACGATGTTTGCTTATTGGGGCTCTATTGGAGTGGGGCGTGTTCGGGTACTCTTTTTGTCTTTTTGAGGGTCTCTTGGGGACCTCTTGAAGCTTCTTGGGCGCTTCTTGGAGCCTCTTGGGGTCTCCTGGGGGCCTCTTGGGCCAAAACGCTCGAATCTTCGGTTCCTCGTCCCCGTCTTGGGCGCCGACTCGGGGCGTTTTTGAGCGGTTAGGGCGCCTCGTGGGCCGTCTTGGCCCCCTCGTGGGCCGTCTTGGAGCCCTCTTGGGGGCATCCTCGACAGTCTTGGGTGCTTTTTGGTCGTCTTGGACGCAGTGGACGCCCAAAAGGCGAACACGCCAAAAATATCAGTTTTCCAATTGGAAATCGACGATGTTGGCTTATTTGGGGCTCTATTGGGGTGCCACTTGGGAGCCTCCTGGGGGTCTCTTGGGGGTCTCTTGGGGCCTCTGGGTGGCCTCTTAGGGCCTCCTGGGGACCTCTTGTGGCTTCCTGGGAGCCTCTGGGGCCGAAAGCTCGGAATTTGAATATGGTTGTGCACCTCTGGGACCCCTCTGGGGCTCGTCCTGGGGCTCTCTTGGGCTGTCTTGGGGCCTCTCGGGCCGTCTTGGGACACCCCTGGAGTCGTCTTGGAGCCCTCTTGGAAGCCTGTGGGGCAGTCTTCAGGGCAGTGGACGGCCACAAGGCAAACACCATGGGAAATCTACTATTTTTGCGTATTGGGCCTCTCTCGGGGTGCCTCTCGGGGCGTCTTCGGGGCGTCTTCGGGGGCCTCCTTGGCGTCATGAGTCGTCTTGAAAGGCGTCTGGAGCCATCGCTGCGGCCTCCTGGGGCCTCCCTGCAGCCTCTTGGGGCCATGTTGTCCCCGGGACGCCGAACCCTTGTAAAAACACTAGGAAAACGACGCCCGGGACCCACGTTTGCGGTCGTGGTCGCGGCCCCCGGCCCCCGGACCCGGTCCCCCGTTATATGTATACATGCCGTCTCTGTCTCTGTCACTGTCCCTCTCTCTCTCTCTCTCTCTCTGATGAAGATGAGCATCATCTCGGCGGCGCGCCGAGGGGGGACGCAACAGGGGACAAGCCTCCTCAGAAGGCGGCGGGGGCTCTCAGAAGCCCGTCGAATTTTCAGAGAAACCGTCTCTGTCTTCGGAGGATGCCCGAACCAGCTTCTCAGAAGGCCGACGGCCTCCTGAGCATGCCAAGAAGGCCCGCCCCCCCTGCCATCCACCCTCGGCGCGCCGCCGATCATCAGCAAAGAAGAAGGAGCAGCTGCAACACGATCGGGCCCAGGGTCTGCGCCGCGCCGGAAGGGAGAGGGGGGGGCGTCCTGCAGCAGCCTCTGCGCCAGCCTTCGGCCGCGGTGCTCCTTGTCCACTACAACATCTTCCACGTGACCCACGAAGGACCCCCCGTGGGTGAACTTGGCCTCTATCAGAAGGGTCGCGGTTCCGACTACCCTCCCTGTCGCCACGTGCTCCACTACGAAAGTCCTAGAAGAAGAACAACACGTCAATAAAGATCAACTTCCGGTGTTCCGCGCGGAGTTCTTGATCTGCGATTGACCTCCCTCCCTGGCGCGCCGGAGGCGCCGCCAGGGGGGACCAGCGCTAATCCAAGAACTCTGCACGAAGCACCGAAAATGTCTGCTTAAGCTTGTGTTTTCCCTCGAATCCTGTATACACCGCCAGCCTTCATCCGCACCTCGTATATCGCCATGAACCTGTCCTCCTGGACAAGAGATCGATCGAATCGATGTCGGATCGGCGATCGAAAAGAATCGGATCGGCGAAACTCGGCAGCAAAATCGGGAGAAATCGAATTGGCGGGAATCGGTAGGCTAATAAGGCATCCGTTGAGAAATCGAACCCTAGATCGGAATCCGAAGCCAGATCGGATCGGAATCGGAAGCAATCGAAATCGGATCGAATCGGAAGATCCCAAAGAAACCCTGGCTTGAGATGGTTTTTTGTTTGAATATTTGTCGGCGGTAACCTGGGTTATCCGGTGGGGGAAGGCGGGGAGGTGCCGGCCGATAACCTGACCTTTTCGCTTTGAGCAGCCCCACGTGTGATCTGCGCAACCGACACGGTCCGGCTTTCCAGGGGGGAGGGGAAGGGGGCGGGCGGGCCCCCCAAACCCAAGGCGCGCACGCGGGAGCTCGCGAAAGCACCCACGTGCAGAGCTAGCGCACCCGCGTGCACAGCTGCCTTGATAACTGGGCTTTGGACTACAGAAGTGCAGTCCTCGGGTAACCTGGCCCCCCTTGGCCGTATTGGGTGGCTCTTGGACCGAACCTGGGCCCTCGTGGGCTGCCATGGGGCTCTCTTGGCGGCCTCTTGAAACTCCAGCTCCTGGATGCCCCCGACGTCGGTGAGCTGCCCCAGCACCGTCAGGATGCCCTTCTGGAAATCCCCCGGCTCCAGCAGCCGGAACTTGTAGTCGGACGGCCCGGCCCCTCCGACGCCGCGGCTCGTCCAGCATGGGCTCCCCTCGAGCCTCGACCCGTCTTCAAGGGGCCCAGGGAGACACAACACAATGGACACCATAGTGTCTGGGTTCCGAATCTGCTTCAATGCTCTCTTGATTTTCTGGTCCCCCTCCGTTGACCAGTTGCGTAAGCGAGCTGAGGGAGAGGGGCCCTGACGAGTCGCTAAAAGGCAGGCGCCAAGAGCAGCCGAGGTCTGGTCTATGGAGAGAGAGAGGGAGGCCAGGGGCACGCGCCAGTCAGCAAAACGATGAATAACATAACGGCGATCACCTGTGTCCATGTAATCACATCTGTCCCTCCTGATTCTCCCGGGCCAGGCGCTTACTGTCCCGCGCCTGCCTGACGAGCGCCCCTCGGGCCCAGAAGCGGGCCCCCGGAGCCCGAAACCTGGAGACAGCAGGCGTGATCTTGCTTCGGGCGATCTCCACCCGATCGGGCCCGGCGGCCGCGGCACGCAGCCGTCAGTCGTCGAAGGCACGAGGCGGCACCCCACAGAGCTCCCGCACACTTTGGGTCTGGCGGCCGCGGTGTACAGGGTGCGCGAGGCGGGTCGGGAGCCCGCTCCTCTGAACATAGCATGCACAGCCTGTCCGGTGGGGAGGACCGACAGCACAGTCCAGCACTGGTCGGGGGCGAAGATAGAGGCAACTAGCCCAGGGGCAGGCATTACAAGCCTCGGGGCCTCGTCGAAGGCATGGACCACCGGCGCCGCTGGATACATGTATTTGTTGCTCTCCCCTGGGCTATTCGCCCCCATCGTCACCCCCCAACTGGAGCAAACCATGGCGTCGGAGGTCTGGGGACGAAGTCGCTCCGGCGCTGCCCTCCATCGCCCCGGCGGCCTAGGCGCCCCGGCGCGTGCGCCGGAGAGGCCTCCGAGGCCCTCCGACGGGCGCAGGCCCCCGGGCCCGCTGCAGGGCCTCCCGAGGCGCCCTCCGAGGGGCCTGCCGAGAGGCCCCCCGAGCGTCCGAGTGGCCCGGGAGGGCCTCGGCGGCGATGGGCGCTCGAGGCGCGCGCGCGCTCGGAGGCGCGGGGCCGGCGGCGGGGGTGGCAAGGTGCGCCGCCCAGGCGGGCGACACTGCGCAGCGGGCCATCCTCGTACGACGAAGCCAAGACGAGGATAAATCGGGTGAAGATAGATAAATCGAGAATCTCTGAGATCCGGCGGCTCTGGAACATGTTTCGGGCGCCGCGGCCTTCTCAAAGGGTTCTGAAACGCTCTGGAAGGGATTTATCCTCGTCCTAGCCCCGTCTGGTCGTCCCTCCTCCGATTTCCGCCGACTCGACTTATCCCGACTCTGCTGCCGATTTCCGCCGAGGTTCATTTTGATCGCCGAACCGACTGATCGCATTAGATTCTGGATTCGGCTATGTTTTCGCCGTCGAATCAAAACGCTGAAATACGGTCGGGAACTTTGGCTCAGCGTGTTGCGACGCCTGCGCGCTTCGCCCCAACGGTCCATCCTCCCTGAGATCCTAGCGTCGCGTTCTTGTTCTCAACGGGCGCGTTCGCCCAATCTCGGGCCCTGGGGCACTCACAGATCGACCCGGCTCGCAAAATGACGAACAAAGATGGGGTCCAGGGCTCTGGTCGCGATGTTCTGCGATGCTGTAACTTTTTGCAGCCCCGACCCTCCTTGCCCCTCGTCTCTCCCTGCAGCAAAAACACCTGGACAAACATCGACGATGATCTGTGGGCATTCGGATTTCGTTCGCGCGCCAGGGTTGAGGAGCTCGGGTGCACGGCCTACAGTCGGCGTCCTATCAGAAGGAACGCCAAGTAAGGAACGAAGAGGCTTGTCTCTTGCCACCGCGAGCCTCGGTTTTGAGTAGGTTCCCCGAACTAGATCTCCTGAGCTTCAGGTGGTCCTTATTTCAGCGTCTTGACTGCAAGCCATTGATGCTGCTCGGGCCAGGGCCAACGCTCTCGGGAACGAGTCCTTTGAGCCCACCTCTGGGGAGTGAGGCCAGCCTTGGAGGCACGCGGGCAGCGCGCGCGGACTCTGCCCACCTCCACCGCAGCGGCCACATCCCTCGGGTGTCGGGTGGGACCTTCCCCTCCCTCGGGCGTCGTCTACCTCGCCCTCCCTGCCAACCCCCGCCATCTTCGCCCTCCATCGTTCCCTCGTCGCTCGTCATCTTCGTCCCCCTGGCCATACCTCATCCTGTCATCTCCTTCGCCTCCTCCTCCTCTCTCCCGCCCTCCCCTCCCTTCCCCCCACCTACCTCCTCTCCCCCACATCCTTCTTCGGAACTGCAAACTGCAGGCCCAATGGCAAAATCACAAAACAAAATTAGCTGCTCAACCGCCTGAGCCCGATTTGGGGAGGGCTGACCTCACCCCCTAACAACGAGACCACGAGGCGTAAGCGTCTGAGCAGCTCTGAGGCTGGTGCAGAGTGGCTGGGCACTCTTTACCCGAAGGCGAGACCTCTGGGCATACACGCTTCTGGGGGGGGGGACAACAGACAATACTGCTAAAACTGATGTTGGCCAGACTCTGAACGACGGATCTCGCAGCGTTTACACACCGCTCCTGAGGTGCGTTCTGGCCAGGATCCCACCAGCCCTCAAAGAATGAGTTGTGTCGCGAGCTCGCTATGCTGACCCATTTCTTCCCCCCCCCCCGGGCGGGGCTACCCCTCCTCCTATCCCCTCCCACTGGGTCTGGACGGGGGATGCCGCGAATCGTTGGTGCGCCACAGATGGCCCCAGGTGGCTCCAAGAGGGCCCCGAAGAGCCCAAGATGGCCTCCAAGATCGCTCAAGATATGCCAAGATGGTTCAAGATAGCCCCCAGCATGTGAGGGAGCGCGAACGACAATATGGAATACGCTGGAGCTGGCTTCATGTTAGCCCGTCGGGCAAAACATGCAGTGGCGAACCTAAGGATAGGATGCACCGGAAAAGTCCTACGATGGGTGGCACCATACGCATAATCAACGAGTACGCACACGATATCGGGCACGACTTCTTCTCCGAGCTCGGGAGCTTCACACATAATTGCCGCGAGGCTGCTGCGAAGGTACGCCGGAGGACAATATATGGTTGAAGATTTCGTTTCGAGACTATCAGTGGTAAGTGAGACGCTCTCTCAAACAGAGAATTGTTGGCAGAACTGTGCACAAGTTTGGCATACCTGTTTCGACATGGGAAGGGAGTCGAACATAACGTATTACGACTCTTACCTGCGAACCATGGGCGAGACAAAACCTGGAAGGTTTGAGCAACTTGACCATGTAATCGTCGAGCGGGCCTGGTTGGCGAACATAATATGCATTTGGATCAGCAGGTCCAGAGCTTTGCAACCGCACCACGTTGTGACCAAAGTGGAGCTGGAAATCCATGCAGGAGCCCCCTCAACGACATCAACAATATGATGGACATCTATTCATCAATCAGAGTCTCGTCCGCTGACCCACGCAAGGCCTGGATCACGCAACGTACGCTGCACTTCATTGAACAGAAACACGTTTACAAACGGCATGGATGATCTAAAAAAACAGCATATCAACTAAGTGTCGCATTCACTTGTAAGCATGCGCAGACAAGAAGAGCTACTGGAACATGCTATAATGGGGTTTGGATGGCAACCCAACTCATACGTAAAGGTCACCCGCCACAGCATTGAATATTGCGAAACAATATAGGGGAAACTTGTTGGTAACAAAGGTGGAAGCAATGGCTGAATATTTGGTGACAAAGCATTCAAGAATGTATGATGAGGTGGAGAGGTTCCCACATATCAACATAGACAAGGGGCATTTTAGTTGACCCGGGGGACAGCAGCTTGGAATAATTACCGCGAGCAGTACGTGCATTTGAAAAAGCAAAACAATTTGGTAACGACGGCGTGCCGCCAGACCTCTGGCAAGCATTGTGCTCATCAAACGACGCGCTGGGAAGTATTCTACATCTGTGTAGGACATGCTGGCGAGATAAAGATAAACCAACAGAGCGGCGAGGATCGTCAAATGTCCCGATATCAAAAAAGGCCGTGGACTTGCCCAACAACCATAGGCCTATATCATTACTGCTAGTTCCTTGTAGGATACAACATATGTGTGTTGTGGCATCGTTTGACAAATTGAGACGTGGAAGACGCATTTCGATACTCTTCATATGGGTTCCGCCCTGGACAACGAGCCGCGAATTCCAGCGCTCCGCCCAATGAAGCTCTCCGGAGGACCCAAGGAGGCCCCCAAGCGGCCCCAAAAGGCCCCCATGAAGCACCCAAGAGGCCCCAAGGAGCTTCCTGGAGGCCCAGAAGAAGCCCCCAAACGGCCCCCAAGACCCTTCGAAACTGCCTCAAAGAGGTCCGCGAAAAACCTCGCCGCGAGATCGGAGAATCCAAAGCGTGCCACACACTACTGTGAACTTGACGCATTATTGCTACTTTTCCTCGCCCCAGCTTCGGAATTCTGCCCGAGAGTTGCCCGAAGAATTTATAGAAGGGTCGGCGGAAGTGCCGCAAGCCAATAAAATCTCAATCTCGGTTCCGACCTGGACGAGACACATCCGTTTTATTATTATTATATGTAGAAACGCTGGATAATCGGCGCAACGTTGGAGGTCACGGATTGCACGTTTACTCTCTTATTACTTGATGGGGCGCGCGCGCTACTCTACCCCAGTCGCGGAGAAAGCGGGGAAGGAGGCTGCTCTTTTTCTCGAGCAACAAAGGGCTGCAGGATTCCGGGTCTTCGCCCGAACAATCTGAGTATATTGTGATATAATCATATATCATAGTAAAACTGCAAACTTCCGAGCACCTCTCCTCGGGCGCAGGGGAGCGGCTCGGCCCCCGGCCGAGAAGCGAGAGCAGGGCGCCAACTTTGCGGCCCCTTCCGCGGGCCGTCTGCGGGGCCCCCCGCAGGCCCTCAGCCCGCGCGCGGGGCTACCCGCCGCGGGCAGGCGCGGGGCTAATCGCAGCCTGGACGTTAGCTCAGCCTCGGCTGTCGTAGTGCTTCCTGCGACCATCCGTCCAACTCCCTGGGTGGATCAGCTGCGAGCCACCGGGGCGATCTCGGCGCTCGCTCC